TGTGTTTACTGTTGAGATCACCAGCTAATATGAAATAGTGGTTGGGATTTTGTAGGTTTAAAGATTCGAAGATTGTGTTGAGCTCAGATTTAAATGTGCCGTTATTATTACCTGAAGGGTAATAGGCTGAAATTATATACATGATGTTATTCGGAGGCATATGAATTTTTATTATACAAGATTCTAAATAGGATAAGGCATTGATGTGTTGGTTGAAAACTTCCGTGTATTTTATATTTTCACTAATTAGAATTGCGGTTCCTCCTACTCTCGATCTTAACAATCTATCTTTTCTTATTAAATTATACCCTATAAATTTTAGTTTGTGTCTTGTGTTAAGTTTAGTTTCGTTCAACAGAACAATATCGGGCTTATTATTTGATAAGAATTTACTTAGCTCTATTCTCCTGCTTATATTAATAAGCGAGTTGACATTAAGTGAAATTATGTTTAACTGGGATTGGGTAATAGTTATAGTATGGTCTAAATTCATGCTGTATCTATTATAATATATTGTAAATTGCATCAACTCTTGCCGTTTGTATTTCCAGCTGCTTCTGAAGAACTGTTAATAGTTTACTTAAAGATAACATTGTATTTTTTAGTTCTTCGAATATTTGATTTTGAGAGTTTTGATTATTGGTATCATAAAATACACCAGTTGACTGTTTACAGACATTTGCATAACTTAAATTAGAGTTAGTAAAATTTTGGTTAGTGTTTATTTTCGTGGCTATTAGGTTTTGTTTTTTCAATCTTATTTTTTGTTGAAGCTCTTTATACCGCTCACAGCCTTTGTAGGAAGCTGTATGCCCAAATTTCTTGCATAAAACACAATACACCTTATCATTTACAGTTGAGTTTGCGTCTAAAGAGTTACAATCTTTGCTTTTATGTGTTCCGCTACATTTGACACATCTTGGTGGTAGATTACAATTAGCTGCGCTGTGAAAGACACTTTGACAGTTTCTACATTGCGAAATCTCAGCTTTCCGTAGGGGTTCCCATTTAAAACAGTGGTATAAAACAGCTTTAATTGCTTTTAATTCGTTAACGTTACTTTCGGCACTTGTTTGAACCAAAAACATAGGTAGTTTTATATTGCGTTGCGTGGAAATTTTTGTGGTAAATTGATTAACTTTAAGAATTTTTAGGTTATCGTTTTGATATGTGCAAAGTTCATTAAAAATTTCTTCGGGGTCGGTATTGCCGTTTAGCCCTTTCAATAGGTATGTTTTGATTTTTAAACATTTAGGCGTGTAAGAATAGAATTTACTTTGGTGTTTTCTAAGTTCCCTCGGACTTTTTTGTAGTCTTCAATGTTGGTTAAAAAAATTGCTAATTTATTTTGATTATTTTCTTTGATTTTAAATTGTGTTATGTTTAGACCGTCTTTTATTAGTTCTATTATTCGTTTTGATTCGATGTCGAATGTGTTTATTGGAGGAATGTTTTTGTTGTTTATTTTTCGTTTGACGTTTGGGATCGAATTAACTTCACTAGTGTTGTTTCTATGCGAGACGCCAGCTGGAGTTATTGCTGCCACTGCACGTGTTGCTGGGTTGTTTTTTGTTGTATTACTAGTTTCATTTTGTTCATATTTGTTGCTTAGATTATTGGAACGAACGTGTTGTTCGAATTTTTGTAGTGTTTCATTGAACTCTCTTAGATCGTCATCTAATATAGCGTAATAATTGTTTTTGGTATTTTTCGACATTGTGTGTTCAAACACGTTGTCGTTTTTTCTTTTTCTATTTAAGATTATCTTTGCGACATTGTTTGCAGAACTAAGCGCATTGCGCTCACTCATTATAAAAAGGAACACCTTTACACTGATTATGGATCACGATTGGCACTTCAGGAAATTAAATGATTTTTATGATCTTTATAATGGGTATCGATTTGTTATCACTTTACACTCCGTGATACGTGCTTACGCTCTCGCTGTCACAATCAGACTCCCTAGTTCCAATTTGTTTATAATGCTATCACTTTCTGGACACTTAGTACACTTTGAAAAGTAACACAATGATGCAGACTCTTGGCAAACAGAGCTTTTAATTAAATCATTTGAGCTTTCTGAAATAATTTTCCCCTCTTTTTTTTAATTCATTTTTAAATCCAGCTAATTTCAATTTGAAATTTTGAAAAATTTTACACACACACACATTATGAGTTCCACTTTTGCCAGCAGATATACATTCCCGAGGTCGGAGTTTTTGAAACTTGGATAGTCCAATCTTTTCGTCAGGATAAGCATCTTTAAATTGCTTGTGTATTTCGTAAACATTATATAATAATAACCGTTTTTGTTTTTGGATTTAATCACCGAAACATAATCTTTCATACCAGGCATTACGCGGCTGACATCATCGGATAGATAAAAAGCTTCAATACGATCGAAGGTTTCAATGTTTAGAGATTTTCCTCTCTTAATCATAGGTTGCGATGCGAATACTCGTTCTTGTCGTATTTTTTTTGCAGTTGTCACCATTCGTTTGGAAACTTTAAACTCTTTCCTTATCATTTTAATCGAATAATCTGTAGGAAGCGTAGTCAAAACCTGAATTTTATTAAGTAAAAGCTCTTTTGGATCAATTTCACTATTTACATTGTTAATATTATCCGTAAATTTACTCACAACATTTGTTAAAACGTTTTGACATTCTTTATCACTTGAGACTCTATTGGTTTTGATTGGAGGTTCACTAATTTTCGTTAAAAATTTATTAACCTTATCAATGTTTAATTTGTTATCTACCGGTTTGAAATGAAAAGTAGGATCTTTTTCTTCGTCATCTTCGATAACATCATTTGACTTCTCAGGCTTGTTGACTTCAGGACATTTATTCACCGATAATTCACCAAGAATTTCAGGTTTTCGGCCTGAATAAATAGTCCGTTCACATGAATTGCACATATAATTCCCAATAAAATCTTTAAAATCATGAGCGCGGCTATTTGTTATTAAAACTAAGTTTTTAATGAATTTTTTATGATTCTTTTTATTAAATGGATTGCAGCATTTCTTAACGAGGCTCATGATTAATTATCAACGAAATTACGAATGGCTCGAGATATTCCTTTGTTGTTCACATACTTGTAGATACTGGGACATAAAATATTAAGATGCTTTCATATTTATTTCTTTTAACCGCAAAGGATTTAGTTCGAATATCGTTTTATTTAAAACAAGAATTGTAATGTTAATTGGATGTTTTATACTGAATAGAAAAAAATATGGGGTAGAAAAATTATGGATTTTTAATACTTAAAGAATAGGAAATTCTAGTTAAAAATTTGTCCTTGAAATATTAATAGCGGGTATTCAATACATTCTGGGGGATTAGGGAATTTTCGTCTTAAGTATTTCTTTGAAACTATTAAGCGGGTAAGTATTATGCATATTGTTCTACCACATTCATGCTAATTCACTGCAAGCAAAATGTGAGACCATCATCCCAACATACAAATGAAATATGTAACACACTCTAAGTTTCGCGTTGCCGAACCGCACAAACATAAACCGCTATACCGACAGCGCTGACCGCGCGTCGTAAAATTTTTTTTTGCTTAATCTAATCGCGATCAATCAAATTTTTTTGCGGGTTTCGTTACTTTAATGTTTATTGCAAAACACTAAAAAAAAATTTTTAATTTTGTGAGGGAGAAGTCATTAAAATCTTCATTTCTTAACTTAAAAGTTAATTAACCATTTGAAAAAAAAATTATTTAAATTCATACATATTTTCTCAAAGTAAAAGTTTTGAACTATAACTCCTGAAAATTTCATTAAAAAATCACCAATCGTTTTCTAATTATTAATTTTTTAACTAAAAGTAGTAAAAATTTTCAATTACAAAAAAATTGTTGTTAAAATTAAAATTAAAAAAAAATTAAGCGGGGGATTACTTGCTCATGATGACTACTTTATGAAAAAATACTCACATTCAAATTCTATAATCAAGTGGAAAATGGGGGGTCCACTTGACGTGTTTTTACTCATATACAACCCTACATCTGCTTCGATTATTTTTAGGTGATACAAACAACCGTTATTATACTATGGTATGTAGCAACATGTTGCGAGAGTATAAAAATGATCGAAACTGTGTGGAATAAAGAAATTAAAGAAAATTGTCTTCAACTCTAGTTTAAAATCACACTTTTTTCTTCTTTCACTAAAACATCTGTAAAATGAGAGTTTGTTTCTTATTTCAAACTATTTGGAACATTGAAAAAATGTATAACATACTTATTTTACCTATTATAACATAAAATTAATTTATCCGCTATACTCGAATTATAAAAACACTGTAGATTGCGTGGGTTTTTTTTTTTTGCTGAGTGCATTGATTGGTCAAATTTTTTGTTTAGTGAATATTTTACAACTTCAATGCCATGTAAGCTACAACTACACACAACGGAAAGTTGTAATCGGCCTTCTGTTTGCCTTAACTGCTCTTAACATTTTCACTTTCTCTATCCTGTTCTAATTATACCATGAACTGGGTACACTCTGTATATACAGACAGACGGGAACTAGCCCCTCAGTTTTGAGATATCGATCTGAATTTTTGCACACGTATTTACAATTATTTATATTCAAGTAAACCCAATACAAGTTAATAATAATATGATTCATGAACTATTAGAAGCGACGACTTAAGAGCACACACATGGACATTTGAAACCAATAAGTTGAAAGAAATTAATTAAAATCACAATTTGTACTGTTTCGCTTATTTCAATGATCAGGTACCTACTTATATTTGATTTTCCATAAAGGTGTAAAATCTTATGTAAAATTAACTCATCTGACAGGTTATAAGTAAGCCATGTTGACCATCGTCAATGAAATGTGACTATAAAATAAGGTAGGGTAATAACGTGATGTCCCTTGGCTTAGTGTGGACAAATTGTTTTTGCAAATATCATAACAAATTGGAGTAATTAGTCTCGCATCTGACTTAATCTTTCTTTTGTATTTTTGCTTATAGGGATGATATAGGCAATTCTAGTTCTTCATTAAACAATAGTGAGCAAAGCTTATCACCAATGACCACATCTTCTGCTTCCAATATATCTTCCTCTATTATTGGCAGCGTGGTAGGTGTTAGTCCTTATACTTTGTCATCCTCGAATAAAATTGCGAAGATTCTGTACACACGTGAGTCTGTCATGCACGATAATGATGCATGTCGTTTGACAGAAGCAGCAATAAATGGCTCGAATGATGGAAAACGGTAATCTGATGTTGATTTTATTCTTCATTTAAATTTATTATTTGTATTGTGTAACTTTGATATATTTTATAGGAACTCGAATATGCAATCAAATCGTCATTCTATGACACAAAAGTTACGTCATGATTGTCGTAAGGGTAATACTACCAACTCTGACATGGTGGAGCGACGACAATCTTCCCCAAATATATTAGATAAATCAGGTATTGTCTCAGCAACCTTACAAATTCAAGTACCTGTTGCCCAGGCGGTTCATTTAAAGTTAACAGACACCACACCGCAAAAAAAAACAAAATCAATACCGAACGAACAAACAGCATATGATTTGGATGAGGTCTTCTATAAAAGCGGCCCTTCTTCTGGTGGATCGAAAACTATGTCCTCGCATTCAGTGGACCATTTCGATTATAAAGATATTTCGTCTTTTATAAATGCAACAAATAACCATGAAATGAAAAATTTACGTCACTGTAAGTACATGCATTATAAGAAGTTAAATTACTTATAATATTTGTATTATTTATTTGAAAGTATGCGTCTGAGTCGTACTTTAATGTTAAAGATTTCTCTTTTCTTTTAAGTCAGTAATAAGTCTAAACAGTATAGTATCAATTTAAATATTTCGTGAAAGACCTTTTGAAATTTGTGGAATTTATAGATAACTACAAGGCTTTAAGAATGTTAGTTTTTTTGCGAACGTTCTAATATATAATATAATAAGCGAAAACGGTCGTGGTCGAAGGCCGGTGAATCGTCCCAAACAGTGGCCAAGCCGGGATTAACGGCCAGGAAGGTTTTGCTGTGTGTTTGGTGGGATTGGAAGGGAATCATCCACTATGAGCTGCTCCCATATGGCCAGAATTCTACCATCTACTGCGAACAACTGGACCGCTTGAAGCAGGCGATCGACCAGAAGCGTCCAGAATTGGCCAACAGGAAGGGTGTAGTGTTCCACCAGGACAACGCCAGACCACACACTTCGTTGATGACTCGTCAGAAGCTACGGGAGCTCGGACGTAGCGCCAAGTGATTACCACCTGTTCCTGTCCATGGCGAATGCCCTTGGTGGTGTGAAGTTGAACTCAAAAGAGGCTTGTGAAAAGTGGCTGTCCGAATTCTTCGCAAATAAGGAGGGGGGCTTCTACGAGGAAGGTATTATGAAGTTGCCGTCTAGATGGAAACAGATCATCGAACAAAACGGCGCATATTTTAACTAAATCCGATCACTGTAACACTTTTTATAAAGCATTGAATGAAGAGCAAAAAAGCGGAAGGGGGATATTTGACAATCTTATATATTATATAATATTATCGCGAGCAAGGCCTTTTATTAAGATGGGTGCATTCGAGCTACGTAATAATTGCAGCAGTACAGCTACTGTGTTACATATTTGCTGATACTCTGCTGATGTGCAGACAAAAATTTAGTGTTGCCGACTATTTGCATAAATTGCGTGCAAAATATGACAGCAGAACGTGATGCTGTTGCAAGTGTTGCCAAAAATTCACGCAGAACGTGACATTTTGACAAATTTGCAACACTGCTGTCGTGATTGCCATCTCAAACGCACCAGATATCTTACACATTGATCAATTCAATAAGCTGAATTTTGATAGGCAAATCTTTTGGAGACTATGTATATACTGTCTTCTGTCAGGTTACTCGAATGCCTTAAATAGTCCCTTTGTTCCTATACCAACACTTTCCCGTCTATCACCGGAATATAATAGGAACAACAATATACGACTCCTGACAATAAAATACTGCAAATTTAATCCTGCAAAGATAGAAAAAGAGGGAATAAAGATCGTTGTGTGCTTGACTATTAACCTTTGCCTGTGCGATTTTCTCACTTGTAAGTAATTGCTACTTAAGGTTGTCTTTGTGGACCACCCTCCCTTTAATGAGAACAGACGTTCCCAGGTCTGCTTGAATCGTTTCCTCTGTGCAAAGCGGTGTTAACTTATTTCCCAACCTTTTATTGTTTTTTTCGAACACTTTTTCGACAACTTCAAAAACTCTTTTTTGAGTGTTCGGGTTAGATCTTTCAATGTTATCATGTTGGGCTTTTGCGATTTTATTTTTTATGGACCGTATAAGTTCTCTAGATGCTGCGTGAATCGCATCGATCGGGGTTTGGCTTGTGACCGAGTATATGGATCGATTGTAGGCTATTGTTGACCTTAAAATTAACTCGGCTGTGTCATCAGACATTTTTTTTAGTTCAAAAGATCTTGCCATGTCCGCAAGAGTGCCATGGAAGCGTTCCACTTGTCCATTTGAACAACTGTAAAGAGGTGGTGCATTCACTATGTCTATGTCGTACCCGTTTTTTAACAGTGATCTAACTGTCTCCGAATTGAAAGCGGAATTGTGGCAATAAATTGTTTTTGTTTGAGGAAACAAATTTAGAAGTTGGATAATGATTCCAACTAAGTAAGGAACGATTTTTTGTCCGTTGAAAAAATGTTAATGTAGAGCATTTCTCCAGCATATGCTGGAATTGGTGTTGCCTGTCGTGTTTCCTTTTGTGTTCGGAAAATAATAATCACGAAGGATTTGTTTAATATTTTCCTGAGCGGCCCTATGCGCGCGATTGTGTTCAGTGATGATAATTTTAGTTTGTTCACCTTTGTTTGTAATGTCGACAACGATATTCTTGCAGTACCAGAATTAGTTGTCGGAAAATTTAACACCAAATCATGTTGTATACTGGCCAATATCGGTAGTTCACAGTATATCGCATTAACTGAGTTGGTACTAACGAGTGGTTTAAATACTTCGAATAGAGCGTTTTTATCTGTAAAATTTATTAGGTGGCGTATTTTTCTGCCAAAGAGTATGATGTCTCTTTTTAACGAAAATTTGGCTTCTTAGAGAACGAACTGGTTAAAAACTTTTCTGTCCAATCGATCGTGTAGGATAATGATATCTCACTGTGAATTGTCGCAGCATCTGATTGCACTTCATTTTCCAGATTGTTCACATTCGGGACAGGGCATCCGCCACAAAATTTTCTTTGCTGGGTTTGTAGAACACTTTTGCATTGTGTTCATCAATGTATGATTTCCAGCGAAGGTGAGGGGTTGGTGGTCTGTAAAAATGTTGTAATTTACCCAAAGCTCAGACAATGGCTAACAACCTTTCGTTTGTGGCATAGTGCGCTTTGCTTTGTTTTAGCGTTCGCGAAATCATGGTAATTGGTTTGCCTCCTTGAGACAGAACCGCACCGATGCTGTCCATGGAGGCGTCAGTGGTTAAGTCAAAAAGCTGTTTGAAATCTGGGTACATGATAATAACATCCTTGGATGCCAGGATATTTCTTAAACTTTCAAAGGTGCTTCGTTGAATTTCATTAAACTAAACTTTTACCTATTTGGACATATGTTTGCTCACCGTACCATTTTCTCCTTTAAGAATGTTGGTCAAAGGCCTCGCTATTGACGCGAAGTCCTTAATGAATCCCCTGTAATAACTAGTTAGGGCGGAAGAAATGATAGTAAACTGAATAAGTTTTTTGGTTCGACATATTTCCGTATGGCTCTAACTTTTTTTGGTTACTACAAAGCTCGAGAATTCGATGCTCTCTTTAAAAAAACTTCGTTTTCTCTTGTGATACTCTCATATTGGCATCGCATAAGCATTTTAAAATTGTGCCGATATGCTTCACGTTGTCGAACTCATTTTCGGAAAAAATTATGACCTATGTGTTCCCTCAAAATGTCGTCAATGGTTCTTTGAAAAATGCTCCCTGCATTTTTCAATCTAGGTCTGCTAGGTAAATTTGGTGGTACCCCGACTTTAAATCTATAGTTGTGAAAAACTTTGCCTTTCCTAGATTCCAAGAATCATTGGAATGCTCGGCATCGGGTATCGATCGGCTATGGTTCGTTCATTTATCTTCCTAAAGTCGATTACCAACCGTTTATTGCCGTTGTTATCAGACTATTTTTTGTCAACAACCAAAAAGGGCTGTTATATGGGGATTTGGAGGGTCTAATGATATCATCTTTGAGCAGTTGCTTGATTTCGTTGTTTGCGAAATCAGAGACTTCGTTTGGGTACGGATATAGTTTGGCATAGATTGGTTCATTATCTATAGCGCGGATCGTCGCAAAATAACAAACAAATGCCTTCTGAAAATTTTTGGCTAAATTTCACCATTTTTTGTGTTTGACACACTAAGTTCCTTTGATGCCATTAAAGGCATTGACTTATTAACACAAGCAAGAGCGGCATTAGACTTACAAAATATTTTGATCTCTTTTGAGCGTGTTGGTTGCTCCCTTGAGGTTTGGACGAGTTAGTGTGTTGCCTGAAATTGGAAGAAAAGTAAATTTCTAGTGGCTCTGGGGCCTTTTCCTGCGCAGCTTTTTATTTATTTCATGGTAACCATTGCTATTTCACTGTTTCCTGACGAAATGTGGGTTTCTTTTTGCTGCCCCGTTCTTCCCTATTATGCTTTCCTTGCTTTGCATGGGAGCGGTTTCTATGGTCCTCTTTCCTCTGCTGCGATGCTAGCTTCTGCTTCTCTAGCTATTGCTAGATCCTTTGGCTGAACCAGAAAAACAAAAGCTTTGAGTGATTTTTTAAGACCTGAAATAAAGGCGTGGAACGCGTCAGTCCTAACCTATTCATTCAGAAGCGTTGCCTACACCGCTTCGTGTGTCATTACGATCTTGTTTGTAATAAGAGTTAGTTTTATCTTAACTTCGTCATAATGCTCTATTAAGGTCAAGTCACCTTGTCTAACAATCTTGAGGCCTTGCCTCAGAAGTCGTAGGGAGGTTTTGTCAACGTAAAAGCAATCTAGTCTGGCTATGATTGCATCAAAGTTCAGGACAGTATTGTGTGATACTAATATCGCTCTGGCTGCTCCTCTGATTTTATTATTAATGATTGTTACCGCTTGGTAATGCGTGCAGCTACCGTCAAAAGGTTTGAATAATTCGTACGAATCAACGGCTGATTGCCTCCATGCTACGTATTCTTCTGACCCGCCATTAAATTCCGGGACTGCTTTTATTATGTCCAGAGGAATATTGCATTTGATCTGTGGGTCCACAGAAATTCTTTTATAGTGCTCAACTTGTGCTACGTCGATACCCAAGCTATTTACCCGTTGCTTCGTTAACAGCAGTCACTAATAATGCATGCACTTGGTTTACGTCCATGGTGAAATTCGTTTGGATTGGGATTTGGCTATCGTTGTTTTCTATGTGCAACTCAATATCAAATTCGCACTCGGTTTTTATATTGCGTAACGCGTCTAACCAACTCAGGTGCTCATGTGTATAAATCAAATTCTTAGCAGCGGCTTGAATTTACTTATAATGGATTTGTTTTTTATGAAAAAATTATTTTAGCTGACACAAAGTATATATTTTTTGTTAAAAAGATAACTCGATATTTCACAATCACACCTGTTACTGTTAGTAGTTTATTATTTGGTGCAAGTAATTCGAAGATAATCTTAAACGAATTTACATGGTGTGGAAAGTAGAGTAAGTCTAACTAGGATGTGAATCCTTGTATGTTGGGCGCCAGTTATCGAGTTGCCGTGCCGCGTTGTTGATGGTTATCTAACAACGCGTGCTAGCTTAGATGTGGTGCAACGCAGTCGGTCGCTATCCAGGTATCTCGCAGTAAATGCGCGAGATGGTTATAGCTAACTTCTTTGGTCTATTAAGTTCGGAGCGTTACTTCGCTCTCTTATCGCTGTCTTTGTGGCTCATTGATCACAACAATAACAAGATGGTACAATATATTATAACGGCAAAGCCGGAGCAAGTATGTTTATTGAAAGTAAAATACTAACTAATTGATATTACAAAATTGGACTTAAAGCTAAACCTAAAAGTTGGACCCATAAGCTACAAAGCTACAGCCAGCAAGCCGACTCAGCATAAGCGATAACGTAGACATTTGCAGCATAGTCAAATATCAGGTTACCGCAGCTGACCTAGTAGTCAGGCCACTGAACTCATTAGTCAGCGGAATATGTCTCAGCATAAGCGATACGTAGACATTTGTAGCATAATCGAATATCACGCATGCGTCAGCGAAATATGTTTGGAGCAAATGGGTGCAAGTTTCTTATATTATTTATGTGCAATTCTTATATATAAAGTAGAAAATACTTTTTTTATTTATGAGTCAATTTCAAGAAAAAAAATCACATATTACTTTTTCAATTCCATAGCAAATAGGCCTTATTTAAATTTTCATGATTAATATTTAAACTGTTGTTTTCCTCTTTTGTAAATTTTCAAGATATTCCAATCGCCGGATCATTGTCCATTTCAACCAAAATTGAAAGATCTGAAAACGATTATCGGCATGTTCAGATAGTACAAGAACAGAAACACGAGCAAACTCATAATAATCGTCCAAACTGTTTACGACTACAGTCTACAACACAACCATTACCTGCAGCTTCGTATCTATACACCTCTGTCGAACCGCGAGCGTCATCCACACAATCTATCGGTGATAGTAAGTATCCGTCAACATATGATTCATTCATTAGGAAGAACACAGAAAACCATGAACCTAAATCACCAGCGAGCATTTCCAATATTGGTGGCGCGATACTGCGGTCGAAAACCGCTGATTTTGAGAAAATGTCCACAAATAAACAATATCAACAAAAGCACCTACAATCGCAGAAAATGCAACGATCGTCTATACAAGATACAACAATGTCTTCAAAAGCAACAATCAACGCATATCTTTATAAACGGCAGGAACTAATACAGAGTGCTAAAAATGGCAGCGGAAAAAAATAGGCATAGTAGTGCTTAGGAATTTAAAATATTAAAATCTGTTGCAAGGCATACATTGGGAGAATTGCGTACGCTATTGTTAAATACTCTCCGATTAGAATGTTTCTCAACGACCGTGAAGAAATTAGACTACTCAGGAAATAGAGTGTTAAGATCCAAAAATAGTAATGAAAACCATAGTAACCTCCGAAATGTAAAGACTTTCTTATTCCTTTCCCTTTAAGAGATTTTATGTTATACTAGAACCAATAAATACCAAAGGTCGCCTCAAACTTTTGCTTGCATTAGTCTTAAAAGTTGAATAATACCTATGCTATTATAATTGTAATTTTTTTTTTGCATTCGGAGTAGTTACCTTTGTTTTGTACGTCATATCGTCTGCGGTAAATATATATTGGTTCTTAACACATGTACTAACATAATATTTTAAGATAAACCATTACGTTAAAGCATTTACATATATTATATGTATGTATTTTAGCAACTATCAGATGCCATTGCAGATGTTAAAACACGGCTTCATTCTACACAATTCGACCAGGTTACTACTAAACATATGCGGCACTAACTTTGCCATATCAGGATAGTGGATTTTCTTGTCTTATTAACAATATAATTTTATATACAAACGAATATATATCTTTGTCACATAAAGTGTAATTTAAAGTCTTTTTTAATCACAAGACGCTGCTACATAATATTTAAACTTTGATTGTACGTAACCTATGTTGTATGTTTAGATAAGTAAAACTAAATATAGATAAAGTAAAATTCATTTGAGATTATTTTTTATTAAAATATCTTCCTTTTTGGCTAGTTTGTTGTACACATGCACAACTCACTCGAAAAGTTCATATCAAAATAAGACTATCAAGTAAGAAATTTTTGTTTCCTTTCTACAAATGTCACATGGTGGTATTATATAATATATAGTAGGAAGTATAAGCAAATATTAAATATAATTAAATAAAATTTCGATCACATATACATAATGGGATTACGGGTGTGTAATTAAAATTTCGAGTCCGCTTTGTAATACCCAACTTGTATAAAACACTGTCCTAATGTTTTTTTTAATAACCCAACGACTACCCTCCTCTAACCCAATCGACGCGAAGGGCCCGATCCGCTTACATGCGGAATTAGCCGAGTCATGAAAAACAAGAGAGGTTTTTAAGTATCGAGATTTAAAACTGCTCAGCTACAGAACCAAAAATTTCAACAGCTTTTTAAAATTACGTTATAATAAATTGCTACGTATTCTTTTAATTAATAGAAAACAATACAGCCTTCTAATTTTGAAAAGTGAGTCAGATAAATCAAATATGCTGGAATGAAAATTATAGTCAGGACATATGCGGAGTTCGTGTAATTCTCTTCTTCTTTTTATCTACAAAGTTTTAACAGTAAGCGTCTAAACTGCATCGAAAAGCAAGCCGGAATTTTTAATTTAACTTCAGACAAGAGAACTACAAACTGTTCTATACAGGATTTTCACTAAGAATCTTATGCCAAGTATTTCCCTACGACTAGTAACTGTCTAACTTGTCAGAATAGATTTGATAGCTATGGTTCCATACCACAGAGCCATATTCTAATATAAGCCTAACCAAAGTTGTAAAAAGCGTTTAAGCAACGTCCTGCAAAACTGTTCCATACAGGATTTTCACTAAGAATATTATGCCAAGCACTTTCCTACGACTATTAAATGCCTAACATAGACCTAACCAATGTTTTAAAAAGCGTTGTAGTAGCGTACGCATCTCTAAATTCTAACCAGCGTTTAGCAAAACTAAGAACACCTTTTGCTTTCAAAACCATGATATCAATATGTAGACTAAAACTAAGCTTATAACATGTTTACATATAACAAGATCTCTAAATTCTTTAGACCAGCGTTTAACAAAACTAAGAACACCTTCTGCTTTCAAAACCATGATATCAATATGTAAAATAAAACTAATCTTACAACATGTTTACATATAACAATATTATCTCCATTTACGAGCTTTACTCGATAATCTATAATTAAGAAACGAGATTCACCATACAAAATTCTCCTCGTTCAAATCCTAGATTAATTTTTAATCTCCGATTATATAAAACTAGATTTGCGGTGCTCTTCCTAGTTCTACCGATTACTTTTGCGAAGGAGGGAAGAAATGTCAAATGACAAAGTAATCAAAAATAACCGACAGCAAGGGAAAGAGGTTTGTAAATATATTTTTAATAACACATTAATTTAAAAATATACTTAAATAATTTTTATCAGGAAAGAGAGGACAAAGTGGAACCGGGAAGAAGTTAAACTTCTCCTGGGCTTGTGAGAGGAGAAATTGCCGCAGTTTCGTGGTGTTAAACGCAATTTCCATGTGCGCAAATAAAATTCAAGTAAATATACACATGTTGACCAATAAATAAAGGTAAGTTCATTTAATATGCATATGTATTTACACATATAAAAGTTATCAAAAAATTAACCATTTACAGAGAAAAAATGAAATCAGTTGTGAAACAAACAGGAATTCGAAAAGTTTGTATTTATTTTTATAAACTAATTTATTACAGTTCACGAAGTTGAAGAAGATTATGAATCATCGTTTAATAGCTCTTCGCTGATTATATTAGATTCCCAGGAATAATTGCCGCTTCCAAAGGATGCAGACGAGAAACCTGCAAAGAAAATAAATGTATCAGTAAACATTCAAAATGAGTTTTTGGAGGAATTCCGGGCGGCAAATAGGAGAATAGCGACAGAAATTGAAGCAATTATAGAGGATGGCAGGGAGGCCCAGCAAATTGAAAAATTTCTGGAAGCCTTCAAGAAAAGCACATAATCACGAATTTCATTTGCGGGATATACATACACATAGCCAATAAAGTCTGCGTTCACCCGACACTATTTTTTAAGTGAAGTAAAAACACAATGTAAATAGGTAATTCTACAGTTATACAGTATAGTTTTCTACATGAATTTCTTCTTTATATTTTTAAGCTCAAAATACAAAAATGTATATTCCTATTTTCATTTTTGTGATAACGGGATTTTAGTGTAGGGAGAAATAAAAAAAAGGCACCATTAAGTCTGCGTTCAGCTTTAAAATTAGTTACAAAAGTATTAAAAATGATAAAAAAAAATTAAAATCAATATTTTGTTGGATAGCCGCGTTGTTTTAAAACCTCGCTCAATCGATTTGGCATTGATCTTACCAACTTATCTCTTTTCTCAGCTGTAATCTGGGACCATTCTTCTTTCATAATACTTCGCAAAACCTCTTTACTTGTTATTGTATGCTGACGAATTCTTTTTTCCAACAGATCCCATAGATGCTCAATAGGATTGAGGTCAGGTGATTATGGGGGCCTTTTAAGTTGTCTAGGTCATTGTACAAGAGCCAAAATCTAACTATTTCCGCAGTATGCTTCGGGTCATTATCGTGTTGGAACCAAAACGTCGAAGATAATCCAAGATTCTCTGCACTTTGTTTCAAATTGTTTTTTCAAATGTTCAAATAACCCCATTTATCCTTTGTGGATTCAATAAATTCAAGCTGACCCACACCACCAGCCGCCATGCAACCCCACACCATAATTCCGCCACCTCCGTGTTTAACTGTACCAACAAGATTTTGCTTTTCAAGGGCAGTTCCTGACTTGCGCCACACCTTGTCGACCTTTATGCCAAAAATGCAAAATTTACTTTCATTCGAAAATATTACTTGTCTCTAGAATTCCGGCGACTTATTTATATAATTATGAGCAAATTCAATGCGCTTTCGCCTATTTACAAGTGAAATATATGGTTTCTTTCGAGCGACTCTACCGTGATATCTAGCTTTTCGTAAAATTTTTCTAGCAGTTTCGGCACAAATTGTTTTTTTAATGGTTATATTTACGTTTTCAATAATCTTTGTGGACGTAATTCAAGGGTTAACTTTCACCAAATTTATTATTTTCCGTTCTTCCCGGGCTGATAATATTTTCGGACGGCCAGATCGCGGTTTTGACGTTAAAATTCCGGTTTTTTTAATTGTTTACGACGTGTTGGACAAAAGAATACGTTCTTCCAATAGTTTGCCCAATTTTTCTGAAATTTTTGCCATCTTTCCACAACTTAATTAATTTTTTTTTCTGACAGACTTATTTCTTTTCCTTTGGTTTCCATTTTTTTAAATATTACTAAAACGCGTCACGAGCTCTTTAAACGACTAATTATATTAAAACACAATAGAATCTACGCAAAAAGAACGAACAAATTCATGAGAAGTAACGGTATTTCCAATTCAAGCTAACTGAATGCAGACTTAATGTTGCCTATGTTTACTTGTTCTTACACTAAAATCCCGTTATAACAAAAATTGAAATAGGAATATACATTTTTGTTTTTGCATTTTGAACATGCAGAAAATTTGAACTGAATTACCTATTTACATTGTGTTTTTACTTCACTTAAAAAATGTGTCGGGTGAACGCAGACTTTATTGGCTTTTTATATATAGTCTTTTGTGGCCTTTGTCACAGACATATCTTTAAAACCATGCGATTTGCGATTAACACCAAGAAGTTGCGGCAATTTCTCTTCTCTCTAGTCCAGGAGAAGTTCAACTTCTTTCTGACAAACTAAGAAATTTAATATTATCATTTTGTTATGACTTCAAAACTTTAAGTTTTTAGTTTAAGGATTTTGTTTTGTTAATGAATTATTTTTTTGTTAAAGAATTCATTTTGTTTCGTTGTTTTGAAAAGAATTATTTACTGTAAATAATAAAATAACTAAAAATAAACTGAATTGAACCGATAAAATTAATAAAACTTACATAGAAATAGAGTTATTGATTTTATGATGCTCTCTGCATTAGTGTCGTCGGTTCTAGAAATGAGTAATGAATCAGGTTGCCCTCGTGGGCAAGCGCTTTCGAAATTTGTTTGCACTTGTAACCATTTCGTGTTTATGCTGTCATTCATTTCATATAAAAAATTTAAAATTGTGCAAGACACAAGAAAATTTTATTATTGTTATTGCGTTTTTAATATCGTTGTCGATTCCTTTCCCTATCCTTCCAAACCTTGCTTTCAGATGATTTGACCATCTCGTTCTCAACAATCCTTCGAGATTTAGATAAGTGGTAATTGAAAATATTCTCGTGATCCTCAGCGGCTGGATTATAGGGGGAGGGCTTCATTAGAAACGGAGTAAAGCGAAATGCTGAGTCCCCAAGAACTACAGTGGACACCTTAATGTTTTATTGCATTCTCTTTAAGCAGAGCGTTTTACAAAATTCTTTTCAAGTCGAATATTTGAGAATCATTACAACGACCAGGCGCTCCAACATTAATGTACAATATATGAAGCTATATCTAAAAAAAAATGCTTTAAATATTTTTTAAAACATTTATGTAGTTAACTTACCTGTAGTCTACGTGGGCTAGTAAAACCATTGAGTACCAACCCTTGTAGTTGAAATAGTCAACAGCAGAAATAGAGCACAGATGCGGAGGGCCTAATCTCAATATGGCATCCACCGGAAATGAATTGTATTTGCATGTTATGACATTGAGGAAATCCAATTTTTTTTAAATCCTTCAACGCACTCCGTAATTTTCCTTGCGTGAGAAACGAACTAGTTAAATATTTAGACGAGAGTATGTCCCACACCTCTCGGCAAGTCTTTAAGAATAAGGCGCTTTGGAAACCCCAAATAGTCTTCCAACTGTTCTGTAATCAGCAGAAGAACCAAGGGCGTACAAAGCGATAGCTATTCTTTTTTCTAAAGGAATACATTGCTTTTATTTAGTATTTCGTTTGCCAATGTTGTTTAGCTCATTAAACAAAATTGTGAAGAATTCCCGACTCACCCTGAAACTTTTCTTGAAAAATTGGTCATTATTGAAAGCAACGTCGAAAAATTACCTTACCTTACACAACATCAAGCCGTTAACTTGTTGTAAGAATTTAATAAAAAGTGATGTAATTGCTTATGTGTTTCCACAAACTTTTCGGTCTATTATCATTTAATACAAAATGCAATAACGCATTTTGCATGTGTATACCTGTTACTATTTTTTTCAATCCGAGTTGTCGTGTTTTCCGTATTTCTGCCTACTTCTTATTTGTGGCAGTAATCGGCGCAATTAAGTATACAATCGCCTTCTTTTTTTCCCATATCTTTAAAATGTATAATTTTATCTTTTTTTTTTTTTGGTTTCAGCGCTTTTTTGAATATTTAAGTAATAATAACTTCACCAAGAAGAAAACAAATACAACACATTTGACAGTTGATAATCTCCTTTGGCTATGTAAACGGTTAGATTGTTGAACCAGCTTAGAACGAGATTATTTTAATATTATATATAAACGTACTTTTAGATTCCATAGTAATACCCAAATCAACAAAGTTAAAGTTTAATTTTTTACAAATTTTTGAGTACTTTATTACAGAAGAGATATCGTTAATAAATAACAAGAACAGAATCTGGCCAAGATGCTGAAGAGACATTATTTGCATCTGAACGAAGACCATTAAGTATCCCTAGTTATGTTCTAATTCAAAGATAAGAAAATACCCCTTGACGAAATCTTGGCTGAAAAACAAGAGTATCAAGTTTATCTAAGAGAGGCAAGAGTTTAACATTACCGAAAGCTTTGCTAAGGTCAGTATATGGTATATAACATCCCTATGCTTATGTTCCTTAAAACATTATACATGGTTCACAAATTCAAGCAAACTTGGTAAAGTAGATTTCTCTTTACGAAATCCATGATGACAACAAGAAATTATTGGAGGAACCGAAAAAGTTATTTGGTCTGCGAAAATAGCTTCAAATAGGTTAGGTATTGGATATGCGATGAATTTCACTAAGTCTCTCAAGCTTTTCCCATTATTAGCTATGTATTAATTACAAATGCATCATAGTGAACCATTCATTCGAACATATCCGTTCGCCAATGCCAAGGCATAAAAGTTAATAATGCTTTCACAAATTATATGTTATGAGGCTTATATAGTTTTCGGTGTGTCAGAGCTTATGCTGGCTCCGAAATAATTGATGTTTTTTTCCCAACTTCAAAGCCCATATGTTTTTTCTATATCCAATTTAATTGTTTGTTCTTACAAAAAGTTGGACTCAAAGGATAATTTACAGTTAATTTTTACTTTCCTATTAAATTACGGCAAAAGTACGATAGAAAATATCCTGAATCTTCTTCGGATGGACTCATATGGGTCTTCTTCGATACTCTGTTTCACAGAAGCAATAACATCTTCAGAGCGCAATGTGCGGCGTTTCTGATGATGCGCATTATCCACTAGGGCAAACGTGGTCACAAACAGATCCATGATTACTCGAATTACTCTGCTCTTCTTCGAAAAAAGTATTGCCTCATTGAAAATATTAGTACTACTGAGTTTTGGGAAGTAAATTCAAATTTTGATTATGCTATTGCTATTTAAACTGTTACTTATTTTCTGAACATCCCTTCCGCCATTAGAAATAGCAGACGATATTTAACGTGCAAAAAAACTATGTGCCGGGCGTACAGGTTTATATTATATGTGAATCGGTATTATATATTCAAACAATTTGAAAGAATTAAAGGCAGAGGAAAAACTTTAGGCTCATATATATTTATATACTACAAGTATAATGAAAGTATTAAGTGACATATCTCGCTCAGTAAATGGTATGAATTCAGTCAATAAAATGTACAGACTTAGGGAAAAGCTTCCTTCAAATACAATACTTGGTAAAATAAATCATCCACATAAAATACTGTACATTTATTGTGGGGGCATTTATTTTCGGGAAAGTATGAATATCAAATATGTATAAAGTGAACAAAGTAGGCCACGAAAAAAGCGTAAAATTTAAATTCTCTTCATTATATGAGTTCCTAGTTTCTTCTATTTAAAGAAAATTCTTACATTTTGCTTTTTTCACTAAACTTATCCACAGTATTTCTTTAAGAATATTTTTCAGAATATTATGACAGATTTACAGGATTGCACTTCGATATAACCAAGCCACCTGTAAAAATGTCACGGTTTTACACAACCGCAATGACGAAAATCAGAAACGTCTGAAATCCTATAAAATATATAGAAATATATATGATCAGAGTGAAGAGCTGAGTTGATGTCATGTCCGTCCATCCGTCTCTCTGCATATACGCGAACTAGTCCCTCAGTTTTTGAGATATCGCCTGAAGAGTCAGAGTCTTTTCTCCCAAAGAAGCTGTTTATTTGTCAGAACCGCTGATATCGGACCACTATAGCATATAGCTGCCATACTTGCAAAGTTATTTCCATGAAATTTGGCATTTATCTTCTAAGGCATAGCTAAAATATCTGAAGAAATTTAGCTCATCGCTCTACTATAACGTAAAGCTGTCATACAAACTGAACAATCAAAATCAAGTTTTTGTAAGGAAACTTTTTTTGTGAAGGGTATTCGAACTTCAGTTCAACCGAAGTTAACGTGTTTTCTTGGTTTACAATACTTACAGTTTTCAACAATGATCATACATATATATATATGAAATGAAAAATTAAAAATTATGAAAGGGCACTGTCCGTAATTAAAATAATAGGTACGTTCGTCAGGAAATTGCTAAATTTCTATGCGTTGACATTGACTTTTTTCAAGTTCTTTAATATTGGCAATTTTAAAAAATTTTAGAATTTAGTTCTAATTATCAATCAACAGAAAATATAAATTTAAAAAAATAATTTACAATAAATAAGCGTAAAGTAAATAATACTACAGCAAGTAAGGAAGAGGTAAGTTCGGGTATAACCGAACATTTTATACTCTTGCAACTTGCAAGGATCAAAGCCGGGGAAATATCTTCTGATGTTGGCAAAACTTTATATTAAAAAAGTAAGGAAGGGCTAAGTTCAGATGTAACCGAACATTTTATGCTCTCGCAAAGTCAAACGGTATACTCGTTTGAGTCTTCTTTATATATTTCGCTTGATTTGCATAGTGGAAAGTGAAAGAATCAGATGGAATTTAAAAGGGATTTCGCTCATTTTCGCACTCTAACATAGAAGAATGTTATGTACCAAAAATGTTTGCAATCGCTTGAGCAGATCCCAAGATATGGGTTTTCACCTTAAAGTGGGCGGTGCCGCGCCCACTGTCTAATTTTGAACGTGGTTCCTATAAAGTCATCTCATACCATCCCAGAGATAAAATTTAATGTCTCTGGTGTGTTAAGTGCTTGACTTATCGCGCTTTTAGTAGTTTTAAACAGTACCGTTATATGGGAAGTGGGCGGAGTTGTCACCCCATTTTCACACTGTCGATAGAGGTGCTAAAAGCATTTGTTCCCAGTGAATTTCGTTATTTAGTGGTTTAGGAGATATGCACATTAAACCTATTAGGGTGCAGATTACATGCAGATGCCCCTCCCTAATGTGATCCTGTATACCAAATAACAGTCTTGTATCGTATTGTGGAGCTTAGTTATGGCAATTTATTTGGTTTTGATTAATGGCGTTTTGTGGGCGTGGCAGTGGGCCGATTAAGCCCATCTGCAATACCAACCGTCTTGCGGTACTAAGAAACACGTGTACGAAGTTTTATAGAGAAATCTCAATTTTTACTCAAGTTACATCCTACACGGACGGACGGACGGACAGACAGTCACCCGGATTTCAACACGTCTCTTCATCCTGATCATTTATATATACATAACCCTATATTATTGTCGAATTATAATCAAATTTGTCATTTTATTAAATTACATTATAGGTCATAGACTTCTTTCGTTTTACTAATATATTTTACTAGCTGAACAGGCGAACTTCGTACCGCCTAACAGTCAATTACTGTCGTGTTACCTTTAAGCTGAACTAATTTAGGCTTTGATGAACGTAATACAATGATACAAAATAAATATGAACATAGAAAGTATTTTATTATGATTAACAATACATACAAATAAAAATTCTGAAAAAAAAGATTAAAATAAAGTATATTGTGCGCTCGGATTAACTATCTTCATTCAAGCACCTTGTGGTAAATGACATTCTTTGTTTTTTTGTCCGGCGCAAGAACAAATAAAGCGGATGGTTTACCGACACGTGAACATGTCAGGTACAATAGACCATGAGAAAAACATGCATTTTCTAGATTGAGGCCACAAATAGTCAATGGTTGGATCGTCATGGCGAAGGCAAGACGGATCGAGAATTGAATTAGTTTAAATTCAAAGGGCATATCCTTTGGTATCATCGGACTCCTTGGAATAAGAACTGGTAAACCAGGCTCATCCAAGGAGTTTAAAAATTCATTTGGATAATTAGTGGCTTCATCTTCGTTACAATTCGTTCGTCACAATCGATAGATTTGAAAGAATACAGAATACCTAGATTTGATTCTGAATTATAATATTTAGGTCAGCTACATCTTTATTTTTAGCCGTCAAAATTAATCGCTCACTTAACCATTTAGTATTTTTGTGATTAGCAATGATATCCGGGAATACTTTGTTGATAAGCTTGTCTTTCGATGAGACGAAATTGCAAAGATTTGGAGGAAACGAAATTAATCCGCTGGATTCGTCAACTCTCATATTTACTGACAATTGAAGTTTAAGTAATTATTAATCTTAGAAAAATCGCAGACAACATAAAAAGACATTTACTTTTTCGTTAACGTATAGAATAAATCTTAGAACTTGTTTTCGAGAATATAAACTTTAATTTACACAAAATAAATTTATGAACGCACTCGTAAACGTTAATCATTTGTCATTATTTCTGCACGCATGTTAACCATAACTTATAGTATTTGACATGATGGACAACAAATGTTTGGCAGGTACGAAACAAAGTAACATTTAGGGAAAATGATTCATCTTTTATAATTATGTTTTCGTCCAGTTTTTATTATTTTTAAGATGTATTCTGCTATTCGGGGCGGGGACAAATCCAACGAACCAAAAACCATGAAAATTGGTCTAGCCGATCTCGAGTTATAAGTGTTGTAACAAACCCGACTTTGTTTTATATATAATATAGATTTGGCGTCAGCTAAAATTTTATTTAAAAAATCTTCAAATGTGATTTATATGATATAAACTCAACCGAAGAGGTCGACTTTAATATATTGAGTTTATGTGGAAATCGTCAACCAGAGGATCGGTATTTATTATTTAGGGATAAGAGGTTAACACCAAAGTCTAGATCAAGTCCATTAATATACCTAAACCTTTAATATAACTTTTAAGAAAAATTGTTCACTTAATTTCATTAAAATATCACACATTTTGACCAACCTAAACGGTTTGAGTCAGATGGAAAGGCAAAAAACACTATACAGGGTATATTGGGATCTTGTTGCATTAACCTTTGACATTGCTCAGGTATACTCGAGAATATATTTTTGTTAAACAATTTTATAAATAAATAACTCACGCACTGAACGATACATTCGGCATAAGACTTGTTAGAATAATGAAAATCATTTTATGTAGTATAAAATAATTTGATATTGTTTTGGCATTTTACTATAATATGGTATATCCAATATTACACTTTCAATTAATTTTGCTGAGATATTTTACTTCATATACAATCACCAATATATAGGGAGTAAAGTCAACTAGATATTTGAAAATACTGATATTAGGTATATGGGGGCAAGTTTTCAGCCGAGCGCGTAAATGTTCCGTTAAAAAAATAAAACAGGCCCACTCAATTTTATTAAGACATCTCTCGTAGTGACGGAAATATGTAGTATAAAGTCAACCGAAAGTTCGAAAATCTTTTTATTAGGTATATGGGGGCTAAGGGAAGGATTGACCCGATTCCATCCATTTTCGACATACAAACACATTGCTATAAGGAAAGGATTATATCCAAATTTCAAAAATATATTTCACACGTTGACCGATATTTTCGGCAAAGTCAGCCATAAGCACTTTTGTTCACATTTTAGGTACATGGGAGCATGAATAGTTATAGTACGATGTTGACATTTTTCTCGCGATGGCAGATCTTAAAGGTGCTATTTTATTATACTGGAAAGTGAAAAAATCGAATGGCATGTAAATTTGTTTTGTATGGGAATGGGCGGGGTTGTAATTGTGATTTCAACTCATCTCGTCATCCTGATTATTTATATATACATATAACTATATCTAAGACAAAATTATTATACTCTGTAGCAACATGTTGAGAGAGTATAAAAGCTCCTAAAGTTTTTAAATTTTGAAGACCAATTTGGCAAATTATTCAAAAATAAAGTACACATATTTTCTTTAAAGATGTTTAATGTATTCAAACTCTATAATTCGCAAAAGAATGCAGGCAACCGTGCACTTGAGCAGTTTCCTGATTTTGACAGTTTTTAATAAGGGTTGATAGTATTGGATAATATACACATTTGTCTAAGCATAATTAGTTGCCCGCGTTATCTCTTTTAGAAGCCGTTGAATACACAGAAATAATACATACTGCTATATAACACTACCAAATTTATAATCTGAGATCAGCGTGCATTGCTTAAGTATGTAAGGTGTGTTCAAAAAATAAATTTCATTTTTTTGTTTTAAATATTTATTCATTCGTCTACATTAATGATGTTGGCTTCAAAATAGTGCCCATTCGATATTATGCACTTATGCCAGTGCTTCTTCCAATTGTCGAACTACTTCTCAAACTCGACTTTTGGGATATTCTTTAGCTCTTTCAGTGATTTTCATCTATCTTGTTAAACGACGGCCCTTCAAGGTTATCTTTATTTTTGGAAATAGGAAAAAGTCACACGGAGCCATGTCTGGTGAATATCAATATTATATTAAAACATCAAAATTGGACTCTCCAAGCGTTCTTGTGGACAACTCTGCTGACTATTTCAATAAACTAAACATGTTTCCATTTCAAAAGACTGTTTAAATTTTATTTTTTAAGCTTCGTTTTTAGTTTTTTTGGCGATTGAAAGAAATGTATTTATTTTTAGTACAATTCACTTTTATTATATGTAGTTAGTGGGCAATTAGTTTCTTTCAACTAATTTTCATCATTTGCTAGCTTTAAATCGATAATTGAAAATAACCTTCAGTTATTTATTTTCTTC